ATAAAAAAATTCCAATGTTTAAGAGCCAGGATTAGGATGTGGTGAATGTGGCACTTTTCTTGTAAAAAATTTAAAGAGACGTAAAAATAATAATATATAAAATAATGATGAACGAAAAAGATTAAAAGAAGTTAGCGCGGTAATTGGAACGCAATAATAAATTTAAAATCAGTTTAATATTTCATGTATTTAGTAGAGGAGAAGGTGGTATATTATGGCATCCCAGTTACATTTTACACAATAACTTTGTTAATAATAAATATTTAAGTTTAAAACTTAACAATTACATTCGTTACAATGTTGTTGAATCGATTCTGGACTTAAAATTATGAAATATTTATTCCTTAGGACATTATTAATAAAAACGTGACGACATTGCGTAATGACTCGAAGAAAAACATGAATGGTAATGTAGCCTTTCATAAAAATAGCCTTAAAAAATTAATTTTGTTTAGAAAACAAAATTGTAACCAAAGTATTCAGTTACAAAATTAATAAAAAAGTAAAACATTTTAAAATGTATGCAAATAAATATATATTCATATAACTTCTGTATATATAAACTGCTCAGTACTAAAAATCTCAACACTAAAAATACTACGTAATAAAAACTATAGATTAATAGTAGAGCTACAATCGATTATCAAATAATTATATTTTCATATAAAAATCTCAAAAAAGAGGCCGTGAGTTAATATCCATAGAGAGCCACATTAGCAAAATGCCACGCTATTGTTCAAATTTGCATAACTCAAAAAATATACAGTCAAATAAAATGTTAAATAGCAACAATACACTTAAAAATACATATATTCATGTGAAATACGCTCAAGTTTAAGAAAAATGAGGAAGTAATTAAATGCTAAAATGTACCTCAGAAACATTTTAAAATATTTGAAATTACAAATTACAAATATTTGAAATATTTAAAATATTTGAAATATTTGAAATATATTAAATTATAAAAATACGTTATAATAAATGCTGGTTATTGAGTAGTGGTATATTAGCATCATGGTAACAGCGAGCTACTGAATAAATAATTCCATAACTAATCATAAGAATTAATTATAATAGCGGAGATATTAAGGGAGATACCGCAATATATACACTGGTCATAATATCACCTTCTCCTTTATTTAAACAAATATTTGGATATACTATTAATATTTGGATATAATATTTGGATTTCAGTTCATTTTGAATCATCTTCAGATAGATATACTATCATGTAATTATTAGAGAATGATGCTCGTTTATTTATTGTTACTTGTATTCCGCTATATATCGCAGGAGCAAGCACAAGTATATATCACAAACAATATCACATTTATTTGCAGCTGATCGTTGTATACCGCACGTACGAGGCATATCGCGAATCAGATGATATTTATTGGTCTCTGTGCATCATAAGATGGATATGTATTCCAATGCTGGGCGCGGCGTCATTAATTCACTTTCGACATATTCGGTGTCATCTAAACTGCGTCGGCACGTCGGACTGGACGTGCAGGAATTCCAGCGTCGGCAGGAGACGGCGGCACAAATATCCCCAAGTTGATTAGAGCCCTTCGACTGATATTGGAATCTGTATGGCGCTATTTAATTAATGATCGCACGCGGCTATAATCGGCGCGTTCGACCGAGAGCGAGAGGAGGGAAATCGGAGGGAGATATGGACAATGGAGCTTTAACCCTCAGGTCCTTTCTCTGCTGAAGACGGTTAAATTCGACGACTAGTAGCTAAAGGGAAGCTAAAGAAGGTAAACTTAACAAATTATGAATGCACATAGCGAGAAGACGCTGCAAAGCAAATGTGGACGGTCGTATTGTCTGCTGTATTCGAAGTATACGATGTTATTTTGTTTGTGGAATGACAAGCAAGGTAGTATATGCGATGTTTGTTCTGCTCTTAAAGTGGCGGAATGGTTGGTTTAGTTCTGTATTTCGGGTTCGTCGCACACGCGGGTTTCCTCCTTCTATTTCTGCTTTAACTAATTCTCACAAAAGATATTTCCTTGAGAAAAACATGCAGACACTAACGGTTACCATTTTCTTCTCCGGTATATATAAGGTGATACTAGCGCGATTTTTATTACTCTTGTAGTTTTCTATTGCGAAAGTGCGCAACACTAGTTTTTCGCCCTTTTCCTCTCTTTCTTTTCGATATCTATCTTTGTTTCTTTCACTTTTCTCATGCCTCTTCCCATGCCTCAGCCGTGTTCAAATTCTCCAATGGTCTCTCGTGTCGGTGCATTTACCGTACGAACTTTTTATTTCTTAACAAGCAACGTGAAAGTCACGTACGCGCCGGGTTACGAAAGTCTCTGTACAATTCGGGAAAATTGAACTCTATGCGTCGGTTCAGATATATAGCACCACGGACTTTCCGCTTAACGAAGGGTCACCGAATCGTGATGGAAACTGGCTCAAACGTGTGTAAAAGAGATTCCATCGGTGTACGTTTGTGTATTTTTTGAGATCAATTGCGAAATTACTATAAATATTTTTACACAAAAAAAGTTGTATAAAATATATAACAGCGTGTTAAATCTCAAATGGATTTTTCACATTTTCTTTTAAATCAAAAGTAAAGACCAAAGGAATTTTTATTAATATTGGATATAAGGATATACGTCATTTAATAAAATATAAAAATGAACATCTATTTATTACTGGATATATGTATTTATTTAAAAAATTGTTTAATTAATATTCTAAAGTATCCGACCAATGTTTTGCAAGGCAAATAAACGTAATAATTCATATGATATTAGTTTTGTAATGTTTTAATTAACATTTTACCGCTAATATTGTAATTTCATAATGTTTTAATATTTGTTAATAGCTTTGTTAATATTCATCTACTAAAATTTGTGTTTTACAATAATAACGATATATAATAATCAAGAATATGTAATATAATTATGGTATCCGATTTTTCCATTAAAACTTGTCGGTCTTCTTAGAATTTGCATATTTGTGAAGTCTTGCGACGATTTAGTTCTTCTCATAGATACTAGACTTCAGATTATCCGGGGATTGAAAAGCTCAGTGCCTAAGATTTTATTTAAAGACAACTCTCTCTCTCTCTCTCTCTCTCTCTCTCTCTCATTGACTATCTTTAAGATATTGAGAATTGTTATGCTAAAATATCCATTTAATGGCATTTTTCCTTTAACATATAATAGCAAATAAAAAAAAATTTGAAGATTCCTATACATAATATCGAACAAACTCTCTTTCAGCCAGTTCAATAAACTTTAAAGAAATACATTTTCAATAACAAGTAATTACATTTCTTATATTCTATTTTTTTAAAAGAACACACTCTTACATATAATATTAATCGAATTCCATTGATCTTCGCTTTTGAAAGAAAAATCCATCTGGAAATTTTTGCAAGATATAAGAAATAATATGTTAAGAAATTAAAAATATTCTAGTATATATAGTGTATAGTGTATATATAATATGTATAGTGCACATATATGTACTTCATCGTAATATTTCACAATTAATATCAATTAGAAACGGAAGCAAAAAGAATTGAGAGATATTGTTTTCTTTTTCTTTTTATTAAAATATATTATGTATAATAAATATAAAAAAATAATAAATAACAAATCTTTCTCGAGGAAAATAATAAATTAATAAAGGGTAAAACAAAAGCAACTTACAGTTATAAAATATAATTTTTATATTTCTTATATATAACGTGCATATATGATATTTTATGAAAGAACAATATCGCGATTTTCTTTCTGTCTTCTAGTGGATATCAATCCTGAAATACTGCAGCCGAGTATCGTACCTTGTCGGACACGGGAACAGGAAGAATGTCGTACAGGTTGAAAAGGGGAAGTACAACATCACGGAAGGATTTGTGGCTCCTGCTTGTGACAGCTTTGGAATCGTCCATCATGGTATTAAACAATTTATCCGTCGCGCTGCTATACGCTCGCGCTAGTAGCGCGGTCTCGTACGAGCAACATATACTCGCGCGCAAAACGTTGATTGAAATTTATTGAAACGTGTTTTCTTCTACATTCATACAAATATATTTACCTGCTAGATACTCTCTTTGAAGCATTATTATTATTAGAAATACTTCATCAGAGTATTAACAGTCCGAAAAAATAATATGAAATGATATGATGAAGTTCGAATGATGAAGTTTCATATAAAAAATATTAACACATTGAAAATTATAAAAATATATCTCTACAATATTTTAACTGTAAAATAGTAATATGAATAATAAGATATATAAACAAAAATTTTTTAATGAGATTCATTCGAATTTCATATGCCTAGCACGTATACAAATCTGATGGTTTCTTCCGCGTCAGGTTAAGTATTTGTACAAATCGAGTGCAAACGAGCGCTTGTTATTACAGCTCGTACATCGGATATTGTTTATTTTGGACGCTGGCCAGATTTTAGCAGCCGTAATTTACGGTAAGCCATCGCAGCATGTTTCTTTCCCTTTGGGGTTATCTCTCGAGGCGAATTTGGCAAGTGATACTGTTAAAGAGTAACGATGAAGCTCTCAGGCGCGGATTTTCTCTCCTTCGATAATGCCTATTCTTGGGAAAAATCGAGAGACAGGTGGCAATGCTATGACATTGTGGAGAATGTATGCGGGAACGATATTATGAAAAATTAATACGCCCCGTGGATATATTTACGAAAAAGTCACGGTCTTATGGTGCAAATAAGCATCACTCTATGTCATAAAAACAATGTAAATTTCTGCAATATTTCGAATGTGAGTTTATAAAAATAAATAGTAACATTTATACAAAATTGTATACTTCGCATGTTATCATCTAATCCTATTAATGATGATTATTGCGTTGTACTCGTTCAGTTACTTGTTTTATATAAGTAATCTAGGTATATATGTTGCCTGATATAATCCAAATAATTCAAAGTTGGTATTATATGTAATTTACGTAATATATTGGTGTAGAGAAATGCAAAAGAGGGAAGCTTACCGAGTTGATATAGTTGGTAAGAGACAAGCCGCCATCCCAGGGGTGCTCGAGCTCGCAGGAAATATTGGCGGGCCTTAAGGCATGGGATTGCTCTAAGGTACGTAATCCTACCGCGAACACCTGTACACTGTCATATATTAATGCTGGTTCGGCCTGCAAAAATATGAATCTTAGCTTTATCCATTGCTAATGTTCATTCGATAATACAAAGCGTGTAACTTAAAAATACGAATATTTCTAGCGCTATTAATTAAAGTTTTAATGGAATTATTTTGCTTAAGATCTTGAAGTAACTTACAAACATTACTAAAGAAATGTTATTCAATTATTAACATTAATAAATGTAAGAGAAACATTCTGGAAACGTTTGCTTAATATGATGTATTTAATTGAAAAATGTAAAATTACAATAATCTGAGATAGAAATGTTAATCATTATAAATTAATAATAGTGATTTTAACTAATTAAACATATAACTTATAAAGAAATACAATTAATTGAATATAAAGTGAAATGTGAGAATGCGGAAGGATTTTCGAAAAGCAAACGGGCGCGAATTACGTGCAGCATGTAGCGAAATGCTCCGGTTATTAATTGTAACGCTATTAGTCATGTGTGTGCGTTTATTTCCATGAATTATGAAATTCATGGTACGTTGCCGTGTCGAAGTTACGCGCCGGTTCTAATCTAGTCGTCACGACGACGTCGCGTTCTCGCCGGAAACGTCGACGGAAAATGTAATATTCAGTGAGAAGAGACTACGGAAGATTTGATGGCGGCGTTGCATGAATTAATTTCGTTCACACGTTATTTATTCTTGTCTCGACGAAAATTGTTGATCACGTTTACTGTGAATTGCTTTGCTTCTCTTTTCCTTCTCTTTCTCTTTAATTGTATAATTACATACAATAGTCGCTGGAAAATATCATTTTTAACAAAAAAATATATATACAGTTATAAAACTAATGCACCATTTTTATATCGATATTTCTTTAAACTGTCTTCCGTATGTTAAAAATTATGATTCCACGCACGCATTATAACATTAATAAATTAACAGTTTATATTTATTTAGATGATTAATTATAAAACTAATATTTTCGTATTAGTTTGAATAATAGGCTGAAAAAATTATTATTATTATACATTATTATATATTATACAATATATACATTATTATAATAATGTAATGGCACATTGTCCAGACAATTAGTTTCGTTCTGTATGTTTCTGTTCTGTATATCGCAAATTATTATTAACTGCAAAGTTTGTCATAATAATTATATCATGTATCTTTTTGTAAGTGAAATGTATTTTTTTGCCAAATATGTTACATAATGCACAAATGTAGACAAAAATTATCTCGGAAATGGTAATAGATATGGAAAATAAATTTATTATTGTTAACAAATATAATAATGAAAAAAAGGATGTTATAAAATATTAAATAAAATATAATACATCCAATATATTACAAAAAATATTTTATTAACGTATTATAAGGTCAGCGTATCTTAAAACCTATTATTATTATTGTTATTATTATTATTATTATTATTATTATTATTATTGTTATTATTATTATTATTATTATTATTATTATTATTATTATTATTATTACTACTACTACTACTACTACTACTACTACTACTACTACTATTATTATTATTATTATTATTATTATTATTATTATTATAATAACTTTCGATTCTTCTTGAAAGATTAAAAGAAAGATTCTGCATATATCCGACACCGTATATATTACCGTTTTTGAAAAAAACGATTCTAACGTCTAGACTTGTGCATAACTTTTTTATCAAAGAGTAAATTTAACGCAAGAACGGTCAACACGATCAAAGCTGTGTTACGCTCATTATCTATTCGTGTTTCACAGAAATTATTAGTATTTATTGTGTGATAGTATATATTGAAATTCAATATCGATAAAATCGAAATATTAATAATGCTTTCCACATTGAATACTAAATTGTAATAATATATTTCTATTACTCTAGCGATTGCATTTTGTTATGCGTTGCAATGGAAGAATAATAATTCAAACGTACTAATAAAAATAAATAATGATGTTGAAAAGTTACTCATCAACAAAATGGCTTAAAAATCATTATAATTAAATCATTCGTATATAATAATATTTATAAAAATCAACAAAAAGTTATTCGAGCAGGCAGTTTAGCTTATAATTAACAAAAAATTGCTAATGATATTGTTAGATAAAAAAACAATAATAAATAAAAGGTTAACTCAATCTTTTGTGCTAAATAACATTTTGTTATTTTTAACTTCCATGAGTGTTAAAATATAAATCAATCTGTTTCTGTAATAGAATTTTTTAGTTTCAAAATAAACGACATTCATATTAATGTATGTCTTTAGTAAATAAAAGAGTGTGAGAATTTGACTGTGTAAAACCAATTTAATACATTTCTTAAGTTAAGTCGTTTAAGTCCATTATTTTAATTAAATTAATGACATATTAAAACAGTGACGACTTATAGAAATAATTAAAAATAATTCAAGTTGGGTATAATTTGACATAATAAATTTAACAATGTACCGATCATGAAACGTAAAAATTTCACTACAATCACAATGCAGGAGAGATTGTTAGTTTCCGGAACATTTTTAGTGGGAGCTTCCGATGGTAGCGATCAATGCGAGGTAATCACGTCGCGAATTGATTTCACTCGTATTTCAGAGTCGTGAAAGGATGCTAAGCACGACGCGACCATTCCGCCCGCGACCGCTTCTCATCTTCATTTCCTTCCCCTGCACCTTCCTTACACCGCATCCTGGAAGGCACGTATTTGAGACGGACAAACACGCGGAAGCATCCAGGAAACGACCGGCGCCCGTGCTTAGTCTTGTACGTCTCTTCATCACTCACTATATGCCCCTTTCTGTTGGACGAATAGGTTGTAGAGGAGCTTTTACTGTTTGCCATGGACTAAAGTGCGACGTGTCCCCGTACCTTCCCGTACGTTGATCCAATATTGCGTTGACGACACGCAAATTTACCGCGACTTTTAATCAACTTTTCCAAATTTTAACTAATTCCAATGTTCTCATTTCGGATTTCCTCAGTTTTCTACGAGCCGAAAGTTTTTTATGGATCTTATCTTTCCTGGCATTTTCTTTAAAGTTCTAGATAGCTCCTTGAAAATTCTGATTATTGTTCTCAACGCTCGAAGAAATGAAAATGAAAAATAAAATGAAAGAGATCCGGCGATATTTTGATTCTCGAACAGAAATTTTTTAAGTCTCCAGGATAAAATTTTTCTTCGGCAGAAAATACTCTCGGTATAATTGATAAGTTGTCGAGCATTTCAGTATACAAATACAGAAAGTGACTTGTGTGCGTGTAAGCGATATTTCCGTAATATAGTTTTTCGAACACCAAGAAGAGCTTTTCGATGAACAATAAAATTTTCTCATGCTGCATCCCCAGAGAATTAAGAACCCAATAAATATCTAACTGAAGCTATTATTATTTATATTATGCTAAGATTATTTGGCTTTACAGTGACTTCTTTAAAGTGGTTAATTAACTTAATCAAAAGCTAGAATTACAATTTCTCAGAAATTATTTTCGAAAATGAGATTTTAGAATTTATAATTACTTTCATGGAGTTTAATGAGAATTTTATTTAATATACTATTAATTCAAAATGGATTGCATCCTTAATATTCCTATATCATTATGATTAAATAATTGAATTATTAAATTATGAATTATTAATAATTGAATTATTAACTTATGAATTATTAAAAACTATTACTCTTATTAATCATGGAATATTTAAACTTGGTAATGAAAAATTTATAATAATTCGCCAACTATTATATAAGATGATTAAAAAGTTACGCATGCAATTTTGTTCAATATTAGTTTATAAATTATCGATGTCAAGCGCGTTGCGGTTTTACAATTACGCTAAAACCTCCAGTGATGCGTGGGGCAGTAATAATCTGGAATGAGAATTCACCGGAAAGTTTGTTGATTCGCGTGAAAGTTGATGAACTGGCGCTAACGTAATTTATGCGACAGGATACGCAAACGCATGAGCATGACAGGATGAAGCGAGTGTGACTCAGGTAGGTGTGAACATATCCGCTTGTCTTACCTCTGCCTGAGGCAAACAATAAAGCTCCAACAAACTATTTGTAGACGCAAATCTCATGGCGAACTTGAAATCTGTCTGAAATAGCTTACGGGCTAACTGCAGGCAGTTATGCTCTCGTTGCTTTTTTTGCGGTAGCAAGAGTATGTTGTACTAAAAGACCAGAAACTTGCAGATTTGCCTGGGAAATGACCGGATTCGTTACACAGCGGTGAGAAATTCCTGAAATTCTTTCAGTAGAAGCAAGCATTCTTTGACATTCAGTGAGCAAGCAAACGATTTGTGGTTTGGAATTTTCCCAAGAGTTGATTCGAAATCAATATTATTTCTCTATCTTTTAATAACTATTTAATATTTTTTCATTATATTTTTGAAATGGGATATTGAATTTATTTTAATATTAAATTATAATTAACTAGAATAAAATAAGATATATTTTATAAAATATTTATGAAGTTTTTATAATATAATATAATAATATATATCCGAAATAGAAACATCCACATTCTTGTATGAATTAATGAAGAAACAATATATATCAATATATATTAATTTTTATCAATCTTGATGAAAGCAAAATCACACATCAGTCTTATTAAACCCGAAAAACGTTTCATTAATGTGCAGGCAAACTATATATAAATATTGATCTCTTCATAAAGAGATTTCAATCAATTTCTATTGTCTATTATTTCTTTCAATTAACGTTAATAAAAAAAGTCATTTTAAAATGCGTACATTTTAAAAGTATCATGAGACGTTTCTATCAATGAAAATATCTGAGGATAATGTGTATTACTTATACTCCGTTAATATTTGCATTAGATAACATCAATTTCGGCAGATATTAATGCTAGTGCAAATTGATTGGCTTTCTAGGCAAGTGAAATTATTACATGCACATCAATCAATTAACGATCCTTACTCTATAAAATTTCGTTCGTTATCACACACCTCATACCGCGAAAATTCCGATCTGTAATTATGGATGTAACACAAATAATTCATGC